CATGTCTCCTTCTGGGGATGTCACCCTTCCAAGTTGGCACTGGGACCAAGGAGGTGGTGAACTTGGCTTGTAACTCTCAGTTAAGGTGTAAAAGACTCTCAGTGCTAGAGGTGCTCAGGTGTGGATCATAAAAGAACACACCAGAACTGTCAGGATCAGTGAAGTGTGTTGGCATGGTGGGAAAAATGCAAGTGTTAACAGGGTGCTGATGCCCTGTGGGGCACATCATCAGGGCAACAGCGGAATAGGGTTTAACACAAAAGACCTTGTCATCTCGGGATGAACGAATGAGACTGTTGGATACCTGAACCCTTTACACTCTGCTTGGCCTCCTCTGGGAGTCCTGGGGGTGGGCACTGACTTTCAAGAGGGATGTGGTCGGTGAGAGACGGCCTCGGTGGGAAGCGTGGTGCTGAGCATGAAGCTGGAAAATGGACTTGTTACGTGGGAAGATAACAGGAATGGTGTCTCCTGAAAAGAGAAGGCTAAAGAAGGAAAACTATCCTCAGTGTTAGGGGTGTAAGTGGCTTAAAAGAGCAGTGGAATAATCTGTTCAAGTACATGGTGGGTAGAATCAGTAATAATGAATTTAAATTAAAACAAGGGAGGTTTAAATTAGCATAAGAATTTTGACTCTAAGAATAGCAAAAAACTGGAATAGAAGGTGGAGCCTCTGTTATTCAACCTGTCCTTAAATAATTTAAGCAGAAATCAGTTGAGGATGGCTTAGGCAGAGTTACTTTTTCTCCCCAACCTTATTTTTTGCTGGGGGCTTGTAGGACAGAAGCAAGCTATTTTTATCTGTTTTTTTTTTTTTTTTTTTTCTTTCCTTTTGAAGAGTGAAATTCAGTTTTGCTACCTTGTACATGCTCATATCAGCTCTAATTTAGGTGGGGTTGTGCTCTGATATGACAGTCTTCGATGGAGGAAAAGGATTATTTATTTAGGGAGAAACTGTAAATATTTGGGGTCTTTCATTTTGGCAGCCAGTATTTAAAACTTCCTTATAATAAATGGAAAAAAAAAAAAAGATTGCCTTATATTTAATGAACACATGAAACTAGTTCTTGGTTCTGCTGCAGGCTTCCTATGTTATCTTGAGTAACTCTAATATGCATTAAAACATGAAGGTGAGGACAGTAAACCTTACCCTTCAGAGAAAAGAGCAGAAGGGAGCCTGTGAGGTTGTACTTTCGTAGTGGCAAGGGCTATTTCTTCTCTGTACAACCCCTAATACTCACAGTCATGCCTGACAACTTGGTGCTGGTGCAACAGGCAGCAATATTCCTTTTTCAAGACCTGGGATCGCCAATATCATTCAAATACTAAAGGCTCCCAGACAGTGCTTCCCAGATGAAATACAGTAATAATGTGGTTAAAGAGCTCGGAAAAAAAATGAACAGAGCAAACTGAACTAACAGAAATAAGGCACAGAGGTGCACTCACATGAGCCCAAGGTTTTGTGCCACCTAGGTGCTTGCTGAGGAGAGCTTGTTAGGCGTAGGCATACAGCAGGCTGTACAGTGTGTTTGCCTTCCAGTGCAGTGGTTTTGAGCTGTTAGCAAGCAGCTGAGTGACTTTGTTTTGGGAAGTGCTGTCCCCTGAATGGGGTATGGCATCACTGCAGGGATCTCTGTGCTGGAGCAAACCTGTACTCCTCTGACGGACACACCTTCCTCTGCTGGTGTTTATGATGGCATCAGTCATCACAGACTCTGCAGGTAGGACATCCATGGCAATGACATGCTAGATGTGCAGATGCCTGATGAGCTAGGCAGGCTGTCTGATGGGGGGGATGTATCGCTCTTTAGAATGGCAGATACCTGACCTTGCTTGATTTCTATCTTTGGGTGTGTCCTTAGTTGTTTTTTTTTCCTTTTCACCTGGTGGTTTTTTGTCCTTGAGTTACTAACTGTTACCATCTCAGCAACATCACTTCTGTCCTGTCCCTTCCTCTTTCCCCCGCACCCCTTTCCTTGCATGATATTAGCTTACAAACTACTGCAGCTCATCAACAGTTTTCCAGGAAAAGAGTCAATTATTTTTTGCACAGCTGTACTGCGCAAAATGAGCACAGGGCAGGCAGCTGAACCCTGGGCTGGAATTATTCCCCAATGTAGCTTATGCATAGACCAATACAGTCGGTCTTGTTAATCTGTGTTAAAGATGCTCACAGTATTTTTTTACAGTAAAGCACTAGTTTATACTTGCATTTCTGGCATTCTATTCATTTCCACCTGATAGTCCGTAGAATCCCCTTTCAGGGACTGAAAGCTCCAAGCAATGCTCTGTTATTATTATTACTACCCTTTTTAGCACAGTACCACTGCTGAGCAAAAGTACAGACCCAGGGACACGCTGTGTCAAGAGCTTTCAGACCCTGAAGTACTGAAGTAGAAGGTACCTCTTAAAAACACACACACACACACAAACACACATGCGTTATCATTGATTCAAAATTCTACCTAGGGACATGTGGATTATCTTGGAAAGTGGCAATAGGAAGAGCTGTTTAGCCTGGAGAAGTGTTGGTCTGATCCTGAATTTGTAATGTCAGTCTGTTTGTGGTATTAGCATCTATTTTCCCTGGCACTGAAGCTTTGAGCAATGATGAAGCTGAGATTGGGAGTGCACACAAAGCTGGATGGGCTGAGCCCCTACAAACAAGTGCTGAAGTATTTCCTTTCTTAGTTGGTCTGTCATTGTGCAAATCCATTAATTAATTCATTCCATGACGTTTCTATAAGCTTATGTACAGTTGTTTTTTTTTTTCTTTTCAGAATATGACGACACCCTGTGACTCCTTTGTTTCAGTCTCTTCCCCATCACCAAGAAAATCCTCAGAACCTGACTCTAGGCGCTTTTAGAAGACAACACTTCTGACTTTACCTTTTTAAAGCCAAACACTAGAATGAAAACTACTGCTACAGGGAAAAAACTTGGCACTAACAGAGAAGTGAGATTCTGTATGGAGGGCAGGCAGCAGGATCTGGATAGGCTGGGCTGATGGGCTGAGGCCAACTGTATGAGGTTCAACAAGGCCTAGTGCCGGGTCCTGCACCTGGGGTGCAATAACCCCAAGCAGAGCTGGGGTTATTTGTGTAACCAAATCAGCTGGGGCTGATTTGTGTAACTAAAGATTTAATAATAACACATTAAAAAAATCAAATGCAATCTCCAGTTATAGGATGTGAGAGCACAGTTAATGGTCAGTGTTAACAGTAGAGGAAAAGCATCAGCTTTTAGAATAGTTCAGTTGGAAGGGACCTTTACAGATCACGTAGTCCAACTGCCTGACCACTTCAGGGCTAACCAAAAGGTAAAGCACGTACAGTTTGCCCAGAGAGATTGTGGAGTCTCCCACCTTGGCGGTATTCTAGAGCCATCTCAACATGGTACTGGGCAACTGACTGTAGGTAGCCCTGCTCAAGGAGGATGCTCACAGACAAAGTGTTTGTTCAAGCAAGGTATTTATTGCCAAGGCCAAAGCTCCCAATGGAACGGACTCTCCAAGCTGACAGGCAGTCCCTGTCCAGTTGGTATCAGGAGTCTCTGCGTCAAACGTCCATGAAGCAGCCTCTTGAGCTGTATGAGGTTTGGCTCCCCTCAGAGTGGTAAGAGTTGATCATGTGGTGTAATTGCTTGAGGTAACTAGGGAAATAAAACTAACATTCACATTTTAAAGAAAATGTACGGCATTGAAGAAGCTTTCAGGGTAGGGCATAGCTGCATTACCTGAGCATTCCCCAGGCTTCCAACCTTAGATGCTGTTGTGCTGGGGAAACTTGGTGTGCTAGCCCTAAGGAACAGTATGGAGTGTAGAGTGGAGTGGAGACACCACGGTTAGGCTCTGTAACCAGGTGGGGACTCTATTGTTCTTGTGCACACTGAGACCGATAAGCTGCACTTTTTGCCACCCTGAGCCAAGGACCTGTCATGTTTTGACAAATGCTGTATCCTAGTGTACTTTTTGCTTGTTATAATATCATTATAATACCAAACACCTCTATCCCAAAAGCTACCCGCCTACAAAGTGCGACCACCCCTCACCGAGCATGCACTCTGAATTTCTCGGAGCCTATTACTTTAAATGGAGATGGGAGAACTTTTCACCAATCATAACTAAGATATGCTTGACTAGAGTCACTCAAGCTCCACCTTTAAAGATAGAAAATAATATAAATTGGCCCAAGAGAGAGGGGATGTTAGGGGAGATACCACCCCAAGGAAACACAACATCCTTAGGACCTCCTGACTCCTGGGATCAGTCGACAGGCTGAGCCTCTCTTTCCCCCCTGCCCCCATTGGGATGCCTTTGGGTGAGATATGAATACTTGCTTATAAATCTCTCTAGAATCTTTGATCCTTTTAACGCGTTTGTTTCTAGGCTGCACACCTGTAACACCTATAACACCTGTGTATTTCATGCATGCTAGCTTGCTTTTGCAGACAGTCACTATCGCGGGCAATCCAAAGAACCTGGTTATCTGTTGCTGTAATAAACCATACTAGATTGCATTGTTATAGCTCTCATTAAGTGCAACTAGGGTAAGGGTGGTTATCTGTGACCATGATAGTTCAGTGTTCTGAATCCAGCCAGACCCCAGACGGTTAATGCGTTATTGGTGAATCCGACTGGACCCCAGATGGTTAATACGTTATTGGTGAATATCCGATCAGACCCCCAGGTGGATAATCCATTACTGGTGAATGTCCGACTGGACCCCCAGACGGTTAATGTGTTATTGGTGAATCCGACTGGACTCCAGATGATTAATGTGTTATTGGTGAAATCTGTGATTGTGACCGGACCCCAGACGGTTAACCCGTTACTGGTGAATATCCACCTGGACCCCAGACGGTTAACGCGTTATTGGTGTATCCAGCTGGTTCAGTACCCTGAATCCAACTGGTCCCATAACGGTTAATCAGCTACACCCCTTAACGCGACAGATCACCTGCTGTCAGCCGAGTGCCCTGTCTGTGCATGAAAACCTCTTTTATTGTCCAAAGATCATCAGTCTTGCGAGCCGACAGTGCAGCTCCTGAAGCTCTTCCAGCATGCGGGTGTAAGCATATGTGTCCTCCTCCAGGTATTCGAAAAGGTTGACTGGTCCAGAAAATTGGAAGGCTGGTGGCAGGACAATCACATCGGGTATCATCTCATTGCCAAAGAAGAAGTGGTTGAGGCGTTTCTCTTCCAGGCAGCATTGCAGGTACCGAACGATATCATCCAGCCGCAGAAGAAAATCATCCCTGTGCCACATTTCCAAGGGGATGATGGTCAGGAGGTGCATGATAACAGTCTTGATGAAATAAGTGGAAATGCTTGTGCCCACCAGCATACGGGCGAAGACCTGCATGCACTTGAGGTGTAAGGTGTGGAACCAGGCTTCGGTGGTTATGTGCTGGATGAACTTCATTTCTGCAACAGCACAGCTCTGTGGCCACGTTGTGCTGGGGGTCAAGATGGCCTCCGTCCTCTGGCTGCTCAAGAAGATGTCTGAATCGCCTTGCTGAACCCCAAATATTATCTCAATGGTGATGTTTCTCTTGGTAGCACTTGTCATCTGGAACTTGCAGGAGCGGGTGGAAGGTAGCACTTTTACATTGTAAACCTGCGACTGAGGCGTAAGCACCCAGGCTGATTTCACGAAATTCTGGAACCACTTTGCAGTCTTCTCCGCATCTAGGTAGGAGTCGGTGCAGAGGGTGTCTAGGAGGCTCGGCTTCTGCTTTTCCAGTTCCTTTTCAGAATGGTGGAGGAAGCACAGCATGTCCTCAGAGGCCTGCTTTATCTCACACGTGCACTCCAGCTCGACACGGATAGAGGAGTTCCTTGCCAGCAGATCGCCTTCATTGCCCAGCTCTATGTGGAAGGAGTGCCCACGGGGGGCCGTCATGGGAATAAGTAAGCAGTAGACAATGTTTTCCTCATGGGGACTCCAACCTTCAAAGGCACTGCCCACCCCGATGGCTGACTGCAGCTCCGGAAAGAAAGTCTTTTGAACGACCGAGCCGTAAATATCCAGGAGGCCTTCTACCACCTCTAACACCTGATGGCGTATGATGGTTGGATTTGGAAGTGGCCAGTAGATGCGCTGAGCTACATAATCAGCCAGATCGTTTGCATCATTGGGGTTTGGTAGTGCTCTTCCTTGGTCGTCATCATCACTACTGGAGCTGTCACTGCTAGAGCTTTCCTCATCACTACTACTGTCAGGCTCTTGGATGCTTTTAAGAACCCGCCACAGGTACCAAAAGGAAAAGACAAGAATGCCAATGCAGAACCAGAACTGCCAGCGCAGCAACACAGATAAGAGCACGGTTTGTATGCTGCTGTGCCAGGGGCGCTCCCGCTCCATCTTCTCAATTTCCAACAGGAACAGCGTCATGTGCTCCTGCAGCATCTCCATGTGCTGCCGCATGCGCTCCTTTGTATCTGCATCTAATTCATCGCCGACCTTCTGCGGGCCAAAACCCAGGAACGTCAGGACAAAAAGAAGTGCCCGAGCCATGATCTGAAAGAGGTGAGAGAGAAGCAGGTCAGTGGGGCTGGGTGGGAGCTACAGCAGGAGCTGCAGACCCCTAGGGTCAGGTAGGAAAGGGGCGAAGGAGCTGGGAGGAGGCAGCAGGGACTGTGGGCAGTGCTGATGGCGACAGCCGTGAGCCCTGCCCTGAGCAGCTGGGCCCTGGCTGCAGGCTTAGCAAGACCTCGTGGGGCCAGCTTTTGTGCCCCAGCCCTGGCCCAGCCCAGTCTTCCCCCTGGGTACTGTACTCACCGATGGCTAAGACCAAAGTGAAGCAGCGCTGCCTGCAGCTGCTGTTAAAGCCTCCCCCCCATTGTGCCACGTCCTCTGATGTCACCTGCGCCCACACTGCGTCACAGGACCCCTGCCCTGCCCTTGGTCCCCACCGTGGCACAGCGACTCCCAGCTGCCCTGGGCAGCCCAGGCCCTGGTGTCACCTGAATGCAGAGGTACTTATCTGGAAGGAGTTCCCTGGGCTCTCTTTGCACAGCTCATGGGAGCCCTCAGGGCCGTCTGCAGAAAGAAATTTGGGTGATGTAGCCCATGGAGGCTGTGCTCCTCGTGTGCCATTCCATGTTAAATTCTGGAAAAGTAACCCATAGACAATCACTGGAACAGGAGGGCTGTGGGAGGAAAGGAGAGACGGGTCCTCTGCTCCCACTGGGTTGGATCTCGAGGTTTGTTCTTGTAGCTCGTCAAGTTACACTGGTCCCCCAAGGCTGTGTGATTTATTGTAGTGGCTGAAGTTTGGACCCATCAGGGAATTGGCCTGGCCCAGAGAAGAGTGGGGCAAAGACCAGGCTGTCATGGGTCCTGGCAAATGCCTGGGCAGCAGCTCTTGCATTGAGCCAGGCAGGAATTCACTCACGTGTTGAAATACATGTAATTACATGAAATAATTAAAAAAAAAAAAAAGTGTATGTTTATAGCTCCACTATTTCCCACAGCATTCTCCTCAAGAAACTGGCTGCTCTTGGCTTGGTCTGGCATACGCTTCGTTGGGTTAGAAACTGTCTGGGTAGCCAGGCCCAAAGAGTTGTGCTGAATGGAGTCAAATCCAGCTGGAGGCTGGTCACTAGTGGAGTCCCACAGGGCTCAGTACTGGGGCCAGTCCTCTTTAATATCTTTATAGATGATCTGGATGAGGGGATTGAGTAGCACCCTCATTAAGTTTGCAGATGACACCAAGTTAGGTGCGTGTGTCGATCTGCTCGAGGGCAGGAAGGCTCTGCAGGAGGATCTGGATAGGCTGGGCTGATGGGCTGAGCCCAACTGCATGAAGTTCAACAAGGCCAAGTGCCGGGTCCTGCACCTGGGGCGCAATAACCCCAAGCAGAGCTACAGGCTGGGAGATGAGTGGTTGGAGAGCTGCCTGGCGGAGAAGGACCTGGGAGTGATGGTTGATAGTTGGCTGAATATGAGCCAGCAGTGTGCTCAGGTGGCCAAGAAGGCCAACAACATCCTGGCTTGTATAAGAAGCAGTGTGGCCAGCAGGGCTAGGGAAGTGATCGTCCCCCTGTACTCGGCTCTGGTGAGGCCGCACCTCGAGTACTGTGTTCAGTTTTGGGCCCCTCGCTACAAGAAGGACATGGAGGTGCTGGAGTGAGTCCAGAGAAGGGCAACGAAGCTGGTGAGGGGCCTGGAGAACAAGTCCTACAAGGAGCGGCTGAGGGAGCTGGGCTTGTTTAGCCTGGAGAAAAGGAGGCTCACCTCGCACTGGTGTGCTTGCTCTGGTTTTCCATCTCAGGGAATGGCACAGTGTGCATCCTGTAGCCTGAGGGCTGGTTGGTTTTGTGAGCTGCCTGGTGCTCCATCTGGATGGCTGTGTCGGTCTGACTGGGTGTGCTGGAGGAACAGCAGTGGAGGGGATGGCTTTCTGATGAGCAGTTCCCAAGCCTGTGCCTTCTTGCTTCCACACACTTGACAGAATGCACGTTGCCGTTGGGGCTGTGGCCTATGCCTGTTGGTGAAGCAGAACGGTCCAGGCCGCCCACTGACGGCCCCTCTTGTGCTGTGGGTGTGTGCTGGTTCCGCCTCCCCCCACACCCACTCCCTACTGGGGCTCCCACTCCCTCATGCCCGTTCCTGCAGCCTCCTGCTGCTCAAGCTGGCCACACGCTCAGTCCACACCACCTGGAGGTGTCCCAGTCCTAGCCCCCCTTGGTTTCACACTGGAACAGGCTCCCCAGGGACGTAGTCACTGCACCAAGCCTGTCTGAATTTAAAAAGGTCAGAGGTTGGACTAGATGATCGTGGAGGTCTCTTCCAACCTAGATAATTCTGTGAAAGGATAAACTGCAATTCCCAAACCTGATATTGAAATAATGTTGAGAATGAGCATGGTGTTGCAGGAAGAAAAATAACCGTGAAACTACACCAGGTAAAGATGAAGGGACAAACACTGTTTCAAAAGGAAAATCTTATGGTATCTAACCTGTTTGTGTTTTTTATTTTTATTTTTTTTAAACATAAGATATAAAGCATCCAAAATAAAAGTTATCAGTCACACAAAGTGCTTTGTAGTGCTGAAATGACACGTGAAAAGTTAGATCTCAAGCCCAGTGCTATTCATGTCAGTTTTGCAGCATCTGATATCAAGCTGCTTTTTGCTGATGGCTCTGTCAGCCTCTGTCGTTCTGAAGGTGCACTCTCCTGAAGGCTCTCTGGATAGAGCTAAGCTGGAAGCATTGGGCCTGAAAATGAAGATTATGATGCTTGAGATCTCTCAGTTTGGAATGGGAGGTGCAAGGACACAGGGGTTGCCAGAAGGATATGAAAGTCTTACTAAATACCAGTGAATATTCCAGGATCTGAATCAAAATGTAATCTCTTGCTGAAGTGAATCTTTCTGCAACACATTTTGAAAATTTAGATAAAGATTTTTCTTTGGAGAAAAGAAGTCTGAAACCAAGAAGGAAAACACTAGCTCCTGAAATGTGTGGGTGACAAGGAATTTACAGTTAAAATACCTAGATAACTAAATCATGAAAAACAGAACTTAGAATTTCATGCTGTAGTAAGAAAACTGTCAGAAAGTGACTTTGATTCCGATGTGGAATCAGAAAGTTCCTAGTGAAAAAAAAGTCATTTTTTACTAATGAAAATAAAATTCAAGAAAAAGGTATTAAATATCCCAAAGGAGAAGCTTCAATTTAAATGAGGAGCCCTAAACTAGTGCTCATTGGTGCTTGAGCGGGTCCAAAGAAGGGCGACGAAGCTGGTGAGGGGCCTGGAGAACAAGTCCTATGAGGAGCGGCTGAAGGAGCTGGGCTTGTTCAGCCTGGAGAAGAGGAGGCTCAGGGGCGACCTTATCGCTCTCTACAGATACCTTAAAGGAGGCTGTAGTGAGGTGGGGGTTGGCCTGTTCTCCCACGTGCCTGGTGACAGGACGAGGGGGAATGGGCTTAAGTTGCGCCAGGGGAGTTTTAGGTTAGATGTTAGGAAGAACTTCTTTACTGAAAGGGTTGTTAGGCACTGGAACAGGCTGCCCAGGGAGGTGGTGGAGTCACCATCCCTGGAAGTCTTTAAAAGACGTTTAGATGTAGAGCTTAGGGATATGGTTTAGTGGGGACTGTTAGTGTTAGGTTAGAGGTTGGACTCGATGATCTTGAGGTCTCTTCCAACCTAGAAATTCTGTGATTCTGTGATTTGTGGAAGGAAGAAAAGTAAAATTGGAAAGTCTTCAGATGAAGATTAAAATGCTTAAATTCCAGAAGCGAACGTTTGGAATCTCTCTGATGTTGAAGTCTGGAGAAGCCTCAGGTAGGCATTCCTTTTGCCAAAACAGAAACTGGAAAAATATTCCTGAATATACCTTTCCATTGCCATATGCAGCCACTGAAATTTCTGAAATTTTACTTTCACTGAAATTCAAAATGGAGGGGTTCCAAAGTTAGGAGAATGTGTGAAGAGTTCTGACAAGAGCTTGCCAAATTTAGGAGGAGATATTTTATTATCTGTGGAGAGAACAGGGAGCAGAGTGAATTTTCCCAGACATGAAACCTGTGTAGATTTAAACATGTTGCTGAAAGATAAAAATGCATGTTTCAGAATATATAGAGTCTTCAGCAACATTGCCTAAAACAGAAATAAGTGCTTTAAAAACTAACAAAAAATTTTGGAAACTAAGTTATAGCTCTCATTAAGTGCAACTAGGGCAAGGGTGGTTATCTGTGACCATGATAGTTCAGTGTTCTGAATCCAGCCAGACCCCAGACGGTTAATGCGTTATTGGTGAATCCGACTGGATCCCAGATGGTTAATACGTTATTGGTGAATATCCGATCAGACCCCCAGGTGGATAATCCATTACTGGTGAATGTCCGACTGGACCCCCAGACGGTTAATGTGTTATTGGTGAATCCGACTGGACTCCAGATGATTAATGTGTTATTGGTGAAATCTGTGATTGTGACCGGACCCCAGACGGTTAACCCGTTACTGGTGAATATCCACCTGGACCCCAGACGGTTAACGCGTTATTGGTGTATCCAGCTGGTTCAGTACCCTGAATCCAACTGGTCCCATAACGGTTAATCAGCTACACCCCTTAACGCGACAGATCACCTGCTGTCAGCCGAGTGCCCTGTCTGTGCATGAAAACCTCTTTTATTGTCCAAAGATCATCAGTCTTGTGAGCCGACAGTGCAGCTCCTGAAGCTCTTCCAGCATGCGGGTGTAAGCATATGTGTCCTCCTCCAGGCATTCAAAAAGGTTGACTGGTCCAGAAAATTGGAAGGCTGGTGGCAGGACAATCACATCGGGTATCATCTCATTGCCAAAGAAGAAGTGGTTGAGGCGTTTCTCTTCCAGGCAGCATTGCAGGTACCGAACGATATCATCCAGCCGCAGAAGAAAATCATCCCTGTGCCACATTTCCAAGGGGATGATGGTCAGGAGGTGCATGATAACAGTCTTGATGAAATAAGTGGAAATGCTTGTGCCCACCAGCATACGGGCGAAGACCTGCATGCACTTGAGGTGTAAGGTGTGGAACCAGGCTTCGGTGGTCATGTGCTGGATGAACTTCATTTCTGCAACAGCACAGCTCTGTGGCCATGTTGTGCTGGGGGTCAAGATGGCCTCCGTCCTCTGGCTGCTCAAGAAGATGTCTGAATCGCCTTGCTGAACCCCAAATATTATCTCAATGGTGATGTTTCTCTTGGTAGCACTTGTCATCTGGAACTTGCAGGAGCGGGTGGAAGGTAGCACTTTTACATTGTAAACCTGCGACTGAGGCGTAAGCACCCAGGCTGATTTCACGAAATTCTGGAACCACTTTGCAGTCTTCTCCGCATCTAGGTAGGAGTCGGTGCAGAGGGTGTCTAGGAGGCTCCGCTTCTGCTTTTCCAGTTCCTCTTCAGAATGGTGGAGGAAGCACAGCATGTCCTCAGAGGCCTGCTTTATCTCACACGTGCACTCCAGCTCGACACGGATAGAGGAGTTCCTTGCCAGCAGATCGCCTTCATTGCCCAGCTCTGTGTGGAAGGAGTGCCCACGGGGGGCCGTCATGGGAATAAGTAAGCAGTAGACAATGTTTTCCTCATGGGGACTCCAACCTTCAAAGGCACTGCCCACCCCGATGGCTGACTGCAGCTCCGGAAAGAAAGTCTTTTGAATGACCGAGCCGTAAATATCCAGGAGGCCTTCTACCACGTCTAACACCTGATGGCGTATGATGGTTGGATTTGGAAGTGGCCAGTAGATGCGCTGAGCTACATAATCAGCCAGATCGTTTGCATCATTGGGGTTTGGTAGTGCTCTTCCTTGGTCGTCATCATCACTACTGGAGCTGTCACTGCTAGAGCTTTCCTCATCACTACTACTGTCAGGCTCTTGGATGCTTTTAAGAACCCGCCACAGGTACCAAAAGGAAAAGACAAGAATGCCAATGCAGAACCAGAACTGCCAGCGCAGCAACACAGATAAGAGCACGGTTTGTATGCTGCTGTGCCAGGGGCGCTCCCGCTCCATCTTCTCAATTTCCAACAGGAACAGCGTCATGTGCTCCTGCAGCATCTCCATGTGCTGCCGCATGCGCTCCTTTGTATCTGCATCTAATTCATCGCCGACCTTCTGCGGGCCAAAACCCAGGAACGTCAGGACGAAAAGAAGTGCCAAAGCCATGGTCTGAAAGAGGTGAGAGAGAAGCAGGTCAGTGGGGCTGGGTGGGAGCTACAGCAGGAGCTGCAGACCCCTAGGGTCAGGTAGGAAAGGGGCGAAGGAGCTGGGAGGAGGCAGCAGGGACCTTAGAGATAAACTAGTTCCAACCCCTCCCTGCCTTAAGCAGGGATGCCACCCGTTAGATCAGGTTGCCCAAGGCCCCATCCAGCTTGAACACCTCCAGGGATGGGGCATCCATAACTTTTCTGGGCAGCTTGTTCCAGTGCCTCACTACCCTTACAGTGAAGAATTTCTTCCGAATGTCTAATTTAAATCTATCATCTCTTAGTTTAAAACCATTCCCCCTTGTCTTATCATTGTTTACCCAAGTAAAGAGTCTTTCTCCTTTTTATAAGACCAAGTATTGAAAGGCTGCAATGAAGTCTTCCTGGAGCCTTCTCTTCTCCAGGCTGAACATCACCAGATCTCTCAGCCTTTCTTCACAGTAGAGGTGCTCCAGCCTTCTGATCTGTACCAGGGATTAGAAAACGATGCCTCTGCAGCTAAGCTGAAAGGTCCAAAGGTAGAAATTTCAGGACTGAAAATGGATGTGAAAAGTGCTAGAGCAGCTCCCAAAATAGAATTTCAAGTGGAAAGTGTTGAAAAGGACATGTCTGCAGGAGTGGAAGTGTGTATAGAAGAGAGAGCACAATAAATCTTATTACCTAAAGAAAAAACAAAGTGAAAAGTTTGATGTTGATGAGGCCTTGTCTGATGTTCTAGTTAATTAAACTTTCATTATGTTCTCAGCAAGAACTGAACTAATCTTGTTGGAGGAAGAGAAAGGTAGTTAATCAAGTATTCCTGGAGATACAGCCAAATGAGTATTTTCCCAGTCTCCAGTGAAAGTAAAATAATAACATACCAATGCAGGAAAAAAAAAAGAAAAAAGTGTGTGTTCTTAATTTTCCAAGACCTGATAATGAAACAAAACCGGAACCTGATATCTAAGAAAACACTTTGTTGAAAACACTTTGTTGTTATGGAATTTACCTAACAGCTATATTGATTAGTTCATTATCTGCCCAAAAGGAAACAAGCCAATACTACTATCTGGTGAAAAGTCCACCTAATGACAGCACGGCTTCTAGATATGGTGGTAATGCTTAGAAAGAGAACTGACACTTTTGACCTATTTCAAACTTGAATTTTTTGGGTGTGCACGTGCAGTCATACTGCCTTACTGTAATTTTGCATCCTTTTCATTCTTAACACAGGGAAGGTAGATAATGCAAAACACTGAGAAATTGGTTTGTAAGAGATGTGTATTTGATTATCACACCATCTTTAATTTAATGTGTTGTAGTGGGTTTACGTGGCAAGGTTTTGGTAGCAGGGGGCTACAGGGATGGCTTCTGGGAGAAGGAGCTGCCCCATGTTTGGTAAGGGCCCCACTGCTGACCTGAGCTGAGCCAGTAAGCCGAGCCAACAATGTTATTTTGCGCCTCTGTGAGAGCATATTTAAGACAGGGAAAAAAACGCTGTGCCACACAGCAGCTGGGAGAGTGAGAGGAGTGAGGAACAGCCTTGCAGCCGCCAAGGTCAGTGCAGAAGGAGGGGGAGAGGTGCTGCAGGCGCCGGAGCAGAAGTCCCCATGCGGCCTGTGGTGAGGCCCATGGTGAAGCAGGCTGTCCCCCTGCAGCCCATGGAGTACCACGGTGGAGCAGGGTTCCTTGCTGCGGCCCGTGGAGGAGACCACGGTGGAGCAGGTGGTCCTGCACTGACAGAACCTGTGGAAGACCCCTTCTGGAGCAGATTCCTGGCTGGACCTGTAGCCCGTGGAGAGGAGTCCACGCAGGAGCAGGTGATGGGGCAGGAGCTGCTGCCCGTGGGGGACCCAGACTGGAGCAGTACCTAACTTGGAGTGAATACAGATTTAAAGCATGCATTAAGATACCTGAATGGAAGAAGTGGAAAAACAGTTTGTTTCTGAGGTCAGGTTTGTAAGAGAAGTGAGTCGGTTTCTCAGCTGATGTTGTGACATCATCCCCGATGGATTTAAGGAATAGTTACTACTGTCAGGTTGATGTTGGTGTGTCTTCAAATGCAAAGCTTTTTCTAGAAATTGAATTTTCCTTTAAAACCTCTGAGTAGTACAAGATGGACCAATCATAGTTATGTTGAAAAATGTCTACAGACGCCTGAAAACCTTACTGGAGATGATTTATGGTCTTGGAAAAGAAAGATATAAGGGGAAAAAAGAAAAAAGAGCATTGAAGTGGTCCCTTCTCTGTTCAGGAGCAATACTTTAAAAAAAGGAAGATCTTAACAGGCAAGAGAAAAAATGTTAATTAGATGAGGTGACACTATGCTTATTTTTGATGCTTCAGTGAAAATATACTAAATAAACCATGTATTCTGAACCTGTGCTACTGAGTATTGTACATTCATTTTCCTAAAGGCTACTGAATGCCATGTGAAATCCAAAAGTAATGAGGCTGACAGGAGTCCACGTCCCTTTCTGGATGACTTCCCTTCATTAAGCCACACCAGAACTGGCACTCTTACCATGAAAGCAGTAGTTGCACATCTGAGGGTCTTTATCAAGAAGGAAGAAATGGGGGTTGCTTTGGCTTGCAGATTAACCCTGTCTTTATCTGGAGAGGGAAGGGGAGTAAAAGCACTGGAGCAGTTACTGTCTTTGGCCTTGCTGGCATCCTTTAGTTGTTTTGCTTTTGCTTATGTGCTAACAGAGCTTCTCATAAATGGGAGGGAACCGAACTGGAAGGGGCTGGGCTTACCCTGCCCTAAGGCAGGTTCAGGTATGTGTTTCTCAGCCTGACAGGACTGGCACATGTGTGCTTTGGGAAACACAACTGATAATAATGATCTGCATCACTGCCAGCAGTACTTGCTGTGGCTGTTCTCTTGCTGGTTTGTATTATGTTTTTTCCATGCTGATGTCAGTGCCAGCTCTTCAGAGAGTGGGGGCCTGACCATACTGTTGCCATGAGCCCAGGGTACAAGGACCAAGATGAAGCATGACCAGAGTCATGCTTAAATGCCTTGTCCCCAGATGGTTTCTGCCATTGTCTATCTCAGTGGGGACTGGAAAGCTTTACGAAGCCTGCCCCATTCCTCCAGCTCTCCTGCTTGCTTGAAGAGAGATTTCAAGTTGAAAGGGAAGAGTGATTTCTATCCCCTGCTTCCTTGCAGTTACACAGCTTAAGCCACACTTTGCCTGTCTTTCAAAATTCAGTTTGTAGAGATTAATATTAGAATACTTAACATCAACATGAGTGAGGACCTGTCTGTGTCCCGTTCTAACTTCCACTCCCCATCACTTACAACATTCGCTGATAAAAGTCTTTTCCCCTGAAAATAATGGCAAGATCTGTGTGGGGTCTGGCTCAATGTGGGGAAGAAAAGCCTCAGTTCCCACTTAATGTCAGTGGAAGTTGTTAGAGGTCATAGTAGTCACCATTGTTATGTTGAATATGAGTGTTGCTACCTCTCTTGCAGCAATAAATATTAATGTTTGTAATACCACAGGTTGTGTCATTCGTGAATTTTAATGTGCCCAGCAGAGCTCCCTAAAGGTGAATTACTCTGCAGAATCCATAACAATCTAAAGCCTTTTCTCTCTGGTAGTTTAGAAGAATAATCTTGTGCTGCTGCTGAAGCTTTGGTTTTCAAGGCTTTCATTACCTACAGAGAAATCATGTTTGACACAATACCATAGTTATTGAGAACATCAGCTGTATTACACAGCACACCTAATATATCAAACTCCATATATTCCTGGATGCAGACAAGATAATGTCTTAATCTTTTTCTGAGTCATGCTGGACAGCTACATCATTTGTAGAGACCACCAGAATTACAGTGGATAGGGCAAAAATATAATAGAACTTGTTTATATATCAAGTCTTCCTTTCTTTCTTTGGTTATTCTAAGACTTTAGCACTGTTGCATTGACTGTTGAACCAGCTGGTACTTGCCATTAGTAGCAACAGGATGCTGGAAGAAATAATCCTCTGGTTTTGGTCCGGTTTTCTCTCATTCCTAAAAATATTCTTCTTGGAAATAAACATATGCTCCATTGTGGCTGTTACTGTCACATGTGGACCTTTGTAGTGGCAGCTCTGCTCTTTAGGGAACAAGCATATTTTAAGTGGAAGTGTGCAAGAAGACAAGCATGAGGGCTGTTATTAATGGTGACTTAATTCACACTGCCGCATCCATGCTCCTAATTGCTCCGACTCTCATTCCTACCTTTTAGGAGATAGGGCAAGAATTTGTTATGTATTAAAGGTTCTTTGTCCATGAGAAAATTGTTTGCATCAAAATGGTAGATTTTACCAAAGAAGGCTGTTGCTGGAGTGAAGAAAATTCTGTTACTTGTTCGCCAGGCTAAACTTCATGTGGGAATTTGTTGGGATGAGGGTGGCCTTGGGTGGGGGATGGTTCATGGTCTGAATGAGGCTTAAGGAGAATAGGACCGCTGTGCTTTTTTTTTTTTTCCTCTTTTTTTCTCTCCTTAGGAGAGCTGAGTTCCTCATCAAGAAATACAGTGTGTATCTAACAAGTTAAAGATTTATTAAGAATTCCCCTAAGAATATTCAGAATGTGATGAAAATTAATTAATTATTCATTAGTAAAACTGTTTAGATTTGGGAAGTGTTTGTGGTTGGGATTAATGGGCAAAGTTATTGAAATAGCACTCTTGGTTAAGCAATCTGCTAAACTGCTGCAGTAAGGAGATCGTCATCTGCCTGCGTGCAGTTTTCTCCTGTTATTTGGAGGTAATTGCACCCCAGCTGTTTTGAGTTCTTTGCTGATATCTTATGTTTTAAGCAGTCTGTATGGTATTTTTCTTCAAAGAACAATGTCTCCTTTCTGCTTTACCAGTTTGCTCGCACAAAGCAAACACATGTGATAGTGGTTAACGTTTGAGAGTGATGACTTTGTTTTCTGTGGAGTTCATAAGTGCACAAGGCAACTCCTTGCTGAGACTTTTATGCTGTGTAAGGCA